CGGCACTGCTACCAACAGCAGCACCGACAACACGACAACGACCAGCAGCACCACGACGACCGCGACCAGCAGTTGAGCCACGACAGCGACCAGCAGCACCACCACCACCACGACAGCGACCAGAAGCGCCACGACTACGACAAGCAAAACCACAGCCGCGAGCACGACCAACAGCTCCACCACCGCGACTGCGACCAGCAGCAACGCGACGGCGACCAACAGCAATCCTGCGCAGACGACCTGTATCGCCACCAGAGCAACGCCACGACGACGACAACAACCAGCAGCACCACCACCCCGACGGCCACAACCGCCAGCAGCACCACGACCACGACCAACCGCACCACTACGCCCCAGCGCCACGACGGAGACCAGCAGGCCCACCACCAGCAGCAGCACCGCGACGGCGACCAGAGGGAGGACGCGGAGGAGGAAGAGGAGGAGCAGGAGGAGGAGGAGGAGAAGGAGAAGGACGAGAAGGAGGAGGAGGAGGAGGAGGAGGAGGGGGGGGGGGGGGGGGGGGGGGGAAAGGGTGGAGGAGGAGGAGGAGGAGGAGGCGGCGGAGGAGGAAAAAGCGGAGGAAAAAGAGGAGGAAAAAGAGGAGGAGGAGGAGGAGGAGGAGGAGGAGGAGGAGGAGGAGGAGGAGGAGGAGGAGGAGGAGGAGGAGACACAGAAGAAGGTAGAGGCGTCAAAAGAAGACGAGGACAAGGGGGCGGAAGCGACGCCGCAGGAGCCTGGGCTGCGCAAGAGGGCTAGAAGAGAAGCAGGAGGGCCAGGAGCGCGCCGCGGGATTTGGAGGGCGGCAGCGCGGGGACCCAGCCGCCCTTCGCATAGGAGGGGCTCTGGGAGGCACGCCAGCGCGGGCCCCGAGTGAGGGTGGGGTTGCAACGCCCGCGACTCTCGGGGCGGCTGGGGGCCGCGCCAGAAAACAGAAGAGGCGCTGAGGGCGCCGAAGATGAGGGGCGCAGGCCCGCGCCCGCTGGGCACCCGCCTGAGGCGACGAGCGGGGGCCCGCGCGGCGCAGGGCGCGCGCCCGCGCCCGCCGCGCGCGCAGAGCTTGAGAAAAACACTGCCTGAGAACATCCACGCCCGAATCGCTGGCCAAGCTTTTTGCGCTGTCCAAGGACTTCCCGCTGGGCCAATGCCATATCCCACGGCCAACGCTTGCCTGTTACCGCATGAGTCTAGATCTGGCTACCGTACACGTGGGACAACTTCAACCCACACGCGCCGAAATTAGGACGATGGGCAGAAGGCCCAGCACCAGGTCAAGGTGCGCGGGGCAAGTGCCCCATCAGGCGCCACCAATGACGAGGGTTTTGGTCGACACAGCCCGTGGCGCCTCTGACTTCTGGGCAAGTTTCTACACGGAGACAGGCAGTGCACCAACCCCAGCAAACAACCAGGAGACAGATCCCCACATGCCTTTCAGCCCAACAAGCACAAAACAAGCCCCAGAACATTAAA